TAGAATAGTGCTTCTAATTTTTTAGTCGTCTACCATCCACAAACCTTTTTAGCTGTTTTGTTGGCTTTTTGAATTTTGACTACGACAATGCATTTTCATACAATGTGCCTTTGGGGGTGCACAGACTCAACTAACTTAATAAGAATTCATATCTCATCTCATCATTGTCTTTTTATGGAGAGATGCAAGGTTGGAGGGATTAGGATGAAGTGATGTTTAAATTAGAGATGAGGCATTATTTTGTTTATCGCCATGGATTAGTTAGCAACCAAGCTCCTTTCTTTGCAATTCTACAATTCCCAATTCTAACTGGCTGGCCCCCTTTTACAAACCGCTTGTGCCTATCGGAATAGAAGAAACTTTGGCAGGCCTAGCGTAATCGGCTGGTTGGTACCTGTTTGGAGTCTTTAGGAAATTCAAATTTACCTTCACAAAACAAGTTGGATGATAGGAGTAGGAGAGTAATGGATTTGGATTGATTGGTAAGTAAGTGTGTCCTACTGAATGGCATATGGGGGTTGCTGAAAATGAAGAAGATCAAAGCAAGTAAAACAGCAGGGCCCAGTGGTGAAATGGTAGTAATGGTCAAATTTTTGGTAACGTTTTCATATGAGATTTCAGTTTGGTTGTTCACTGAAAATTGATGACGTGGTCATACAAAATCCAAGAGAGAGATAACTATTATGACTTATAAATTGTTATGATTGGTATCAGATGGGCAAATTTCAGAGTGATGGCTTTTACCACAATAACTGAAGCTTATGGTATCTTTTCATACACAAACACTATACATAAGAAATTATGTCAAATAAAACATCTACAAGTGGAAATCTGTTAACACTATTCAGTTTCTTTTCTCCCTAACATGGGTACTTAAAGATTAATGATTGACCATAAAGATTGCCTTCTATGAGAACATTAGGGTTCTCTTAGTATAATATCTACATCATTTTCTAATGTTCACCAAACACTTGTTGCCTAGGTGTCTGTGACTTTGGAACATATCGAAAGGAATTGGTTATTTATTTATTTATTTGTCGTACCCCTAGTTCACAGCATGGTTCCGTGCTTGTGGATTGCACATTTCATGTGAGTTTAGGGACTTCATCAGGAACTAGGTAATATAGCCTTGCTACGTGTGAATCAATTCAATTTCTCTTGTTTGTGTTGTGTTAATTTTTTGCACCTAGTTAATTAATTTAAATTATGCTTCCACGAAATCATTTATTTTTGTGATTCATTAAATAATGTTCCCTTCTTTTGTCTGTGATAATGGTATTTACTGTTATGTTTGAATGCTTTATTCTATAACTATTTTCAGATTCAAAACTTACGAGTTATTGTGAACAAGTATGACATGGTGTGAAGAGTGCTCACTTAGAATTACTTGATGTGTTTGAGTGGATGCAATCTGTTATTTGCTTGTACAGGCCACAGCATTTAAACCTCTCTGTTTTGTTGTGTGCATGAAGCAATGGAATTTTAAACAAGGGATACAACCATCCTTTAAGTTAGCCATGAAGAAAACAATCAAGGTATCAAATACCATAGATATTGAACAGGGGACAAATTTATTAATACTTACCAATTTCTCTGGAAGATGTTGATTTAAGCCACAACCTAAATTCATATTTCAATGGAACCGTGACTTGTCTGTGTGCAGATGCACGCGCACGCTTTTGAGTTGAAGAAAATGTAGTATCGGAATGCTTAGTGGATTGAATAAGGCTTTATTGTCAATGTTGTTTGTATTTGATTAGTTGGGTTTTGGGCCAAAAACCACGTTTATCACCTTCAATTTCTCTCTTTTGCTTACTGGCTTTAATGTTGTGGATCTTCATATACATTGTCCATCTTGTGTTTTTTAAATATGCCTCTGATTATATGCTTTTTTGTTTATCAGTGTCACCATAATCTTGTCCAATTGGTAAGAAATTTGATAAATTTAATATCAATGTTCCACAGTTTTGTGTGCCGTAAGCTACTTGCTAGCTGCTAGTTATTAGGCTATGTCGCTTCATTATTTTAAGCTTTGGATCCCAGTTATGCTGGACAATATGTAGGTTATATAGAAGTCTATATCAATTTCTCTTTCTCCCTTGCCTTTTTGGTGGTTAAAATACATATTCACAGAGATTAGCTATCTGATGGTAAGCACGGGTCTTACTTTCCTGTCAAATATACTTGGCATCTTGTTCATGACCTTTCTCCTCCCCCCCCCTCCCTTACCTTTTTGGTGGTGGTTTGATTCAGGATGTTAATGTAAATTGTGTAAATGTAAATTACCACTACCACTCACTCCACCTACCACCTCCACTACCACCCACTCCACCTACCACCTCCACTACCACCTACTACTCCTCACCTACTCCCAAATCCTCTCCTATATAATAGGAATCCTTGTAATATACATAATACACAAAAAACAACATATATCAATATATACATACAATTTATTCTCTCTCTATCAATTTATCTTACACAGGAAGGGAATGAGGTGTATTTCAGGATTAAACGTAATACCCAGCTCCGCAAGCTCATGACAGCTTATTGTGACCGACAGTCGTTGGACCCCAAGTCCATTGTGTTCTTGTTCGATGGACGCCGTATTCATGCAGAACAAACCCCAGATCAAGTAAAATTATTTCACTTTCTTCTTTTCTGTTTTTCCCTAAAGTTTTTGTTATATGGTATGTTCATTTTCATTTCATATTTGTAACAAATAAAACATATTCAACCTTATAGTTTAACATATCTTAAATTTAAGCTAGATTATTCTGTTCGTATAAATGTTCTGATTTGTAATTTGATTTTTTTGATAGCTTGGCATGGAGGATTGTGATGAAGTTGATGCCATGCTGCATCAGACTGGTGGTGGTGGTGGTGGCTTTGGAGACATATGACTTGGAATAACTTGGAAGCTTAGAACAGTTAATAGCTTGAAATGCTTTAGGTTTGGTATGCATGCATGCAACACCTTCGAAAAGGGCATCTTTCGTAAACTCTTGCCAACTCAAAATACTTCGAACTTCAATGTAAGTTTTCAACATGTTATCGACTATAAATATGCTCAAGTGATGGTGTGTTTTATTTTAAATTCGTTTTGTAGGCTGTGGTTTTTTTGTTCTTCTTCTTCTTCAGTTCAGTGTCATTTTTATAAGCTTTTTGTTTTATTTTATTTTTTATGAAACTTCCCTAAGGATAGGATCCCCATCTCTTTAACAAGATCGTTTTGATCTTGGTCATTAGTTTCTTGTTTGAGTTTGTCTTGACCATAGCTATGCTAATCATACCATGCCAACTTGGCCGAACAGGGCCCTACGTCACTGCGGATCATATTTTTCCTCCTTAAGATTGTTTGCATAAAAAAGTTTGAACCCCTAAAACAAAATTATACAGGTAGTACTTGGATTGTTAATTGTCAATTCTTGAAATTTTACTGGTTAGCATAAAAAATTTGAACACCCCTTCTATAACAAGATCACATCACTCCAAAAGAATTTGATCAATGTGTTTTTGTTTTTATCAGCCAAAAGAACTTTATTGATGAGGAAACCTTACAACAAAGGTATAAACACAACAATAAAGGAAGGGGGCCCAATTCCAACTAGGTTGGCACTAAGACGCTAATACAATCATATGACAGCACCATACCAAGTATTGTTGGTGAGGAACCAACAGAGACACCAAATAGAACAACATATCAGTCACAAAACAGCAGCTAAGAGGATAAAAATAAAGCAGATCAGTACAAACATCAGCTATCAACATGCACCAAACATAAGCAACTATGTAACCATCACACAGGTACAGAGGCACCAGATTATCAAAATGCACCAGATTAGCAGATTCTCATAAAGTCATCAAAGTGCAACAGTCCAATTCCAACTAGGTTGGCACTAAGACGCTCACACAATCATATGACAGCACCATACCAAGAATTGTTGGTGAGGAACCAACAGGGACACCAACCAGAACAACATATCAGTCACAAAACAGCAGCTAAGAGGATAAAAATAAAACCGATCAGTACAAACATCAGCTATCAACATGCACCAAACATAAGCAACTATGTAACCATTACACAGGTACAGAGGCACCAGATTATCAAAATGCACCAGGTTAGCAGATTCTGATACTGCTGACTTGTTAGCAAAAGTGCACCAGAACAGGAGTTACAGGGGCACCAAAGTAGTAGTAGGCGACTCAGTCACCAAAGCAAGACAGCACAGGTACACAAAAAAACACCAAATGAACAGAATAGCAGTAGACACAGGCGCCAAAGTAGCAGCAGCTCAGACATCATTATCAATGTGTTTTTTTAATTGGATTTTTATGTGATTAAACATGTTTTATTCTATTTTGTCTTTTTATAACTATTTTAACATGATAATCCCATGCTAAATGATGATTTATTTAGATCATCTCAAACACCCCATTAATATAATTTATAATAAAAATTACTTAAAAAAAAAATAAAACTAAAAAGTTTCCAAAGAGCCACTAAGGTCTTGTTTGGCAACTCAATATTTTAGTGTAAAATTTAAAAAGTTACTAAAAAAATTAAAAGTTAACAACATATACAAAAAAGTCAAACATTTTATTTTCTCTTTAATTTTTGTACATCTTTTCGTAAAAAATTTAAAAAATATTCTAAATATATAATATATAATTTTTTTTACTTCATATTTAACTAAAAAATTAAAAAATTACTAAAATAAATTATTCCCAAACGAGACATAAATTCATTTGATAAGTGAACTGATTTTTTAATTATTTTATTCTGAGATTAAAAATTTCGTTTGAGTTGAATTTTTAAATTTTTTTTTAAAAAATAATTATTGTCTAAATATAATATTTTATTTTATTAATCTTTAATATATTTTATTTTTTTATTACTATTTTAACCCCTAACCTTATTTTAGTTCTCTGCCAAAAGATGGCTAAAGGCAAGGCAAAATGCAAACAAAACGCTATATGTCCATGACCCAGGTGTGAAAGTGACAGCCGCAGCCAAATGGGCAAGTCATCATTTCATAGGACCCAGCCTTTTTTTGAACTCTCTACTCTTTTTCGGAAACGTTTCTATCTCTCTCATCTTTCTTTTTCTCGGGAAAATCCCTCCGAGAAATTGTCTTGTGGGTCTGGTATGCTGCAAGAAAAGGAAAAGATGTCCGAAGTTGATGGTCATCCCCAGCAAGAAAAAAGCAGGAAGAGGTCCATAGACCAGTCATCTTCAGTCATCGATATCAAGATCAAGGGCCAGGTGCGTGTTTATTTCTTTTTCTCTTCTTCTCTATCTTGTTTCTTTCTTCAACTCTCTCTTACTCTTTCTTCTTCTTCTTCTTCTTCTTTTTATTTTTTTAAATTATTAAAATCATTAACTTTTCCGTGTGAAATTATTTTTGAAAAGTTTATTTGATTTGTAAATTCTCCATAATTGTACTTGAATCGTGTCGGACATGTATTTATGTTGATTATTTTGGATGTTTAATAATAATAAAAAAAAAAGATTAAATCCATTTTTTGGGTGTGATATAGTCAAATTTTCTTTTGTGCTCATGCCATGGTGGTGTGTCGGAATATAAACTATTGAATAATTTTTGTTGGGTCTAGCGTTCGTTTGGGTAGAACTGTTTTACATTACTTGGCTTTTTTTTTTGGCATTATGACTATTTTAACTCGTTAAATTTTTTTTGATATTTTTATTTATAATTTTATGAAAAAAATAAAATAATTATAATTTAAATGTTATATTTTATCTTATTATTTTTTTTAATTTATATTTTTTTTAAGTGAGTTAAATTATTCTCACCCGATTTTCCAAAGGAGAGTCATTTGGAAATTGGGTATCGCGAAATCAATAAATAAATTAATTAAATCATAATTAGATACGAGTATTATGTTTATTAATTTTAACTAAGACTATATAAACTTTAGAAAGAAAAATCTTTTGAATTGATTTGAATCCTAATCAAATCTATGTCCATAATCATTTATTTATGCAATGCTCAAAGGAGTTTGGTAAGGGTTGGATTGTGGTGTCCCATCCCCCCACCCCATTTCTTGTTGAGGTGGGGATGGGGTTGTTGGATACACAAGCAAAATCATTTGGTGTGAACCCACAGCTTTTTTTTCTTCTTTCAAAAATGGCCTTCAATTATCATATCTAATAATTGCTAAAGGGTTATATCATTCATCAAACTACTTAAAATTGTTAAATGTGAAAGAGAAATTGAGAGAGTTGAGAGAGTAATATTTCTGTTATGTTAACTCTGTATCAGAAACACAATAGAGACTCCTTAATATAGGAGCTCGGATACAAGACATCATGATGATGTAAATTAATAAAATAAGAAAAGCGACGCCGAAAGTTAGTGGCGACCGAAAGCAATCCTAAAGCAAAGCAACCTAAAGCTATCGTTGTATATTATATATACATATTATATTAATACTATCTATACATACTGACATATATAGTATTATATTCATATATATGATATTCATATGTTAACAGCCCCCCGCAAACTCAAGGAGGACAAACATCAACCAACTTGAGTTTGGAGATAAGTTCAACGAAGCGACCAGGAGAATGGGCTTTGGTGAAGAGATCAGCAGGTTGATCAGCAGAGGAGATTGGAAGGAGATGGACAGTACCATGAGTGACGTGTTGACGAATAAAATGACAGTCAATCTCAATGTGTTTGGTGCGATCATGAAAAACATCATTGTGAGCAATTTGAAGAGCACTTTGATTGTCACAAAAGAGGGCAGTAGCACCAAAGGAGGAAACCCCATGTCAGCAAGAAGCCAACGAAGCTAGAGAAGCTCTTGAGTAGTATCAGCAAGAGCACGGTATTCGGCCTCGGTACTGGAACGAGCAGTAAGAGATTGTTTCTTGCTGCGCCAAGAAATAAGAGAATCACCCAAGAAAAAGCAGAACCCTGTAGTAGAGCGCCGGTCAGTAGGATCCCCAGCCCAATCAGCATCGGAAAAGGCACGAAGCTGGAGAGAGGAGTGGGCGGAATAATGAAGTCCATGAAACATGGTACCTTTGAGATAACGAAGGATACGAACTAAGGCGGCATAATGAGGGGTACGAGGAGCGGACATAAACTGGCTGACAATGTGAACGGCATAGGCAATATCAGGACGAGTAACAGTGAGATAGACAAGGCTGCCAACCAGCTGACGATATAGGGTAGCATCAGAGAGAAGAGTGCCATCAAGAGGTGTAAGACGACTCTGAGGCTCCAGGGGAGTGGAGGCAGTCTTGCAATCCGTAAGACCAGCGCGGGTGAGAAGATCAGAGGTATACTTAGCCTGAGAGAGAAAAGACCCCGTGGAATTTAAGCAAAACCATCACTAAATTTGAATTTAGTGAAAAAAAATAACTTTTTTGGCTCCAACAGTTTAATCAAACTGATATCAAAATGAAAACCGTCAAAAAATTTCACCAAACTAAGGAGCTGGGCAGATTTCATCAAAACACTGTGCGTTTACGTTGGAGGTGGGTCTCACCGGACAACCGGCCAGATGTCCCACTAGTTGCCCCACCGGTTGTCCCATAGGACGTCCCACCGGTTGTCCCTTGCATGGTCCAACCCATTTCTTACACTGATACATATAAAGTGGGTTTCTAGTAAAATGGTAGCTCTGGTACACAGCTTTGGAGAAATCCATTTCTCTCTACAAATAGAGACTACTTCCTCTAGTTTAGAGGCAACAACCCATCCCTATTTGCTTGCTGGGGCTTTGCTTTTAAAAGATTGGGCTAGAGAGAAAAGTGAAAACGCTGGGGCTTTTTTTGGAGGAATGTGGGTGAAAAAAGATGTGGGGTTTGTGCCAAAATGAAGGTTTTGTGGGTTTTGATCACTGGGGTTTTAAGGAAAGAGAGTGAAAAATGGTGCTTTTACAGAAGGATTAAACCGATCCATTTCTTACATTGATACATATAAAGTGGGTCTCTAGTAACGGTAGCTCTTGGAAACAGTTTTTAGAGAAACCCATTTCATCATTTCATCTGCTGAGAAATAATGATGGTCACAGAGGAAGAGAGAGAGAGAGAGAGAGAGAGAGAGAGACAAGTAAAGCTGGGTATCTGCTAAAATGGACTAATGGAAGTGGTCACACGCATAGACATAGAGAGAGAGAGAGCCCAGGCCTGCGAGTGATACAGAATGGGAGTTTTCTAATGTGAGTGACACAGGACTTGGAGGTGTAGATTTCATAGAAGTTGCCAATGTAAAGAGCGATCTGCAGTGTGATGGTGGCAGTGGCCCTGTAGAAAGAAGAGGGAAAAAAGAAATGGGAAACAAAATTGGAAACAGAAATGGAGGGGAGGAAAAAAAAAATCAGTGGCGTAACAGGTCGACCGGCTAGTCATCCCACCGGACGTCCCCAGGCATTTGATGCAAGCAACAGTGTTCACCGTTGGACCAACTCGTATCAAATTGAAGAAATAGCCTTTTTTTTTCTTAGATTTGATGAAAAAAATAATTCACCATTGGAGATGCTTTTAGAGATACTTTCTGTATTCATGGGTCCCTTAGGCCTTCATTGGTTCCGCCCCTGCGGGTGGGAAAAACAGCCCAGGCAAAGCAAATGCCTTACCCTCCTTGTTTTCTTGTCAGGTCAGGAAAATCCACATGGGATGGGCAAGGGAACGGGGTCAGGGCCAAGCTGGGGCAAATTTTCATCAATAATCAAAAGTATTTTGGATAAAACCAGCAACCATATTTTGCAAGAGACTAACCTAGCTACCACATGGGGTCACAAATATTATAAAATATTCAAATTTGGCTAATTAAAATATCTGTCTAAATAAGTGACTCACGAGCATTGACCATGGTTCAAAGTCGCGGTATCATTGAGGTGCGAAGTTCAGAGTTAATTTAGTTGGGATGTCAAGTATCATAGGCCATAGGATAAATAGAAAGCGGGATAACAATAGTCACACTACTTTCTGTCTGGTGATAAAAAATTCATTTATTTAATAACACATTTAACTCCAGAAGACTTTTGTGCAAGGAGTCAAGTTAAAATATCGAAGTTTCCTCAACCACTTTAACATGTTTGCATTATAATGCTTAATTATTCTTATCATCTTTTTCAAAATATGTGTTGTTGACTGCTATACCACAACAATGAATCATATACTTTATATGCAAAGAATTGTTTATAGATGTCGTGATTTCAGTGTCCCCCCCAAATAAAAATAAAAATAAATAAATAAAAATCTATGATGACACATTTTCCTGTGAGCTCAAGGAAATAAAATATATTTTTTTCAATCCATGATCTTTCTCTTAGAAAAATGATTTGCAAGCTGAAATTCAATCCAATCAGACAGACATGTTTGGCTACCACACTGCTCAATTTAAGTTGAACAAGTCTGTCAAAGCTTGGATTCAGGCTTTTAAATCACTGCTCTACCGAATGTTTTTAGACTGCCTTTAGATTGGCTTCAGATTCACTCCTCAAATGTGCTCTAATACTCTATTTTCTCATCTCCTTTGCCCTTCCCTTTGGTATTTATGTTTTCATTTGTCCACATGATTGTAGGATGGCGTTGAGGTGTTTTTCAGGATCCAAACTAACACCATGCTGCTGAAGGTCTTTCGGGCTTACTGCCAAAAGCGAAACTTGGCGTACAAGACTGTGGAGTTCCTATATGAAGGCGATCGCTTTCCTGTAAAACGAACTCCCCATGATGTAAAACACATCTCTCTCTCTCTCTCTCTCTTGCACGCGCACACATTCGCTCCTGCACGTGCATATCCCAAAACACAGACAAGTACAATGTACTGGTTTTACTATCCTATTGTTAGTGTTTCATGCGAATACCCTATTTGGCTTTAAAAATTAGTCACTCAATATTTAGTTCCCACTACTATAAGAGTGAAAATGGAATGGCACTGTGCATTGCATCCGTGGAGAATAAACTAATTTGGACATTATTTAGTTATCCATCTGTTGATAATTCTGTTTTACACTAATATAATCTAAGTGCTTATATTCTTAAGCTGAACTACTGCTGCTGTTCTGTTCCTATATTGCGCATATTGTATATGATTTTCCTGTCCATTCTCTCAAAAGTTCATAATGGTGATGGGTAGCCCTGTGTCAACCTATATATAACCCTCCCAACCTAAAACCATGGGCAAGACTTAACTATTAAATCCTTACAGTCACCAGCTAAACTAATTGGCATCTTAGGGTTTCTTTACTTTATACGTCTACCACTTTGCCACATTAGAAACAACTTGTATACCACAAAACTAGACACACTTATGTAAATGTTGATATTTGGTTTTGTTGGATATCTTGATAGACATTGTTGGACTTTTCCTAACAGCTTAAGCTTTCAGGACAATTGGTGACTTCACATAGTATAAAAACTCAGGTTGGGGGAGGTTTGTGGGTTCAAGGCTCTCCATTTGCATTCTTTCTTCTCTTTATATGACTACAACATATGAGGGTAAAAGTGAAACTTTTGTCGCCAAAAACATTAGGAGACCATTTTTAGGTCACTTTTCAATATTGCACAAGTTGACCTAGCTTGACCCTAGATTAGTTTACATGTTGAACTTTAGTGTAAAATGGGCAAAAATGACCAAGGTAAACATTGGCCACTTTTGAGACACAAATTGTTTTTATCATATTTCTAAAAAAGTCCTTGAAACCCGTGCTTATCAATTTTTGAACTTGATCTTCATTCATTAAACATCTTATTAAAAATTACTACACTGAATTTTTGGCACAATAATCCATGCACACACTTGCTTGACATATTCACCCTCGGCAATTTGTGTAATGGTGCCACAAGGAATGAAGATCATAGCAAGGAGTTCCATGGAGCTATCAGATCAAGAGTGTATAAGGAGCTTAGAGCCATGAAAGTGAGGAGATTCGAGAAAAACTGCAAGATGGGGGAGGAGTCTTATAAACTTTTTTATTGATTGTGGATTTGTTTTTTGTTGGGTGTGACCGTGGTTTTTACTTTTTCTCTTGTGCACAAGGAAGGTTTCCATGTAAATGGTTGTCTGCCTGCCTACTATATCATTGCTATTTATGTCGTGGTTGCCATTGATTTGGCATAATTTGAAGTTGGTACTTGTTGGTTATTCACTGAATGTTGAATATAACTCGTAGTAGTTAAAATTTCTTCTAAGAGTTTGGCCTATTAACAGTCTCTAGGCACAAACTACCTGTCTCCGCAATTTCATAAAATTTAGTTGACTTCAAGGTGACATGTTATTAATGGCAGTTCTTATCTCATTTTGACTGTGGAAAGAAAGAAAAAAGAAGAAGAAGAAAGTAGATAAAGTTTGTTTTATGTCATGCTTGTAGCCTTGTTTGGATTAACTCTTGATTTGATTGAGCAGCTTAACATGAGGGATGGTGATCAAATCGATGCCATGACGCACCAAGATGGAGGTGGGCTGTAAGGCAAATGACTGCGTCCCAGAAGGAATCTACATAGCAATTTAAAACAAAAATAAAACCCTTGCAGATATATACTTTATTGGATCTGTGTAATGCAAAGGCAAAAGAAAAAGCATGGAAAGATTGTAATGTTAGCTTCCATTTAAACTATTAACTTTTCTATTTGGTGGTGTTCCTTTCTGGTTGATATGAATATGATACAAACTCTGGATATTGTTCTTCACATGTCTTCTATTTACTCTTTTTTGTTTGGTTCATGTTAGAATTCATTTGATCATTGCATGGTAAAGAATCTATTTGTTTAAGTAAGAATTAGAAATTGGATCAGGAAAAAAAGAAGAAGCAAGCACTAGAAAAGTGGTATACTCTCTGTTAAATCATTTCTGCAATTTCATTGAATAACATGATTCCAATTTTGTAAATATATTTTCTTGAATTTGTGCTTTTTATAAGCTATATCAAGAACTATTTGAAATGTTTTCAATTCCACGGCTTTCTTGTGGAAGCATGGGTGAAAATATTTTCATATTTTGCTCAAGCTTTATGTTTTCATTTCATTGATTTAATGGGATAACGATCATTGATTTTGGGAGCGAATATGGTTGTATATCTACAATATATCTACTCAATTGTGAAATTTGGTTATTTTTTCTCTGCAATAATTTTGTTGTAATTTTCATTATAACAACATAAGTCAGAGAAAGATAATCCAACAATTTAAGTTTAAAAGTAAATCAAATTATTATTAAAACAATGCCTTCTTATTTTATTTTAATGAAAAAAAAAAAAACAAAGAACTTAGCATTAAAGAAAGGAAAAGAGAACAAAAAATGTGAAAGTAAAAGAAAGATGAAAGACTTCCAAGTCTCTCACAAAATGATACCTTTCATTTCTTCATCTTTTGACTATAACTTTCACTAAGAAATGGGGTAATCAAAATCAGGGGTAGTGTCTCTGTCATGTGTGTGTGTGTGTGTGTTTTTTTTTTTCAAACACTTCTTTTGTAAAATAAAGAAAAAAAAAAACGAAAATAGACGAGACACAGAAGGGATTGACAAACTTATGGGTTTCACATTTTGTATCAGTTACACACAGGTAGGTGTTAGGGATTATAAAAAATAGCACCATATTTTCCAAAATAGAAAAAGAGAGATGATTTTTACAAATTATGACCTCCCAAATAATCAAGAAACAAAACATCCATAACTTAATTGACAACCCTTTTCTGTGGAAAAAAAAAATATATAAAATTAACAAACAAACGTGATGTTAATCAAAGTCTTAATAAATAGTTAGTAAGCATAGAAAAGATTATTTTCACTTTGATCTCTTAAATTATCACTAAGTTTTTCGGTTTCATTTCAAAATTGTCAAATTTATCTACTTAGTGCGTACAGTTATTTATTTTAGTTCATGTAGTCCAATTGAAAAAGATTGTATGAAACTTAATTTGATGGTTAAAAAGATTATTTCAAAAATTGAACAATTTAATTATATAACCAAGTATTTGTCAAATTAGATGAGAGGTTGTAGTTTGTTCAAAATAATAAAAAACATAATTTCTAAAATACTTTCATATGACATCAAATATGTGCATACTTTTAATATATTTGTAATAACATTCCAATGCACATTTTGGTCATTACCATTTTTCATTTTAACAGCAAAAAAATAATTTGTAATATATATATATGGAGGGAAAAGGGTAGAAAAGAAAAGAAAAGAAAAAAAGCAAAAGAAAGACCCCAACAAGGTGATGCCTTTCCTCCATCCAGCTCTCAAATTGCTGTTCCTTCATCAATAAAAGTACATCTATGCATTGCTGTTTGTAAATGGACTTCTTCATATCCTGCATTTGCTAGCAACAGGAGTGATCAAAATCAGAGCAGACTGTGTTGTTACTCATCTTCATCATGTCAGAGGTAGGTCTTCTTCATCAATTTAGAACATCATTAATTAATAAATCTGTGTTTTTTCTTCCACAATTCTTTCAGAGGTGCTTGGGTTACCTCATGATCGCATTGTTAATCCCTCCTTTTGGATTTCCCTTGATTTTCTGATTCTATATCTGCTTGTTGTGCTTGTATTTGAATTGGATTTCCCACTTTTTGTTTTGGGAATGTTCTTTATTTGTTTTTGGTTTTGTGTGATATAACTTTTCACTGTACAGTTTAATTTCTCTTTTAATCGTAATTTAAACTCAGAAATTACCCCTTCCAATCTTTCCACACATACAAAAATATTGTAAAATGGGCTTTCTTTGACTCACTTTGTATTTCTGTTATCTATCAAGTTGTGTTTTTCAAGACCTCATGATATAACCCTTGCCATAATTTTTTCATCTCTGTCTATATTTTGAGAACCCTTTATTTGACATTGATGTAGATGGAAGGAGGGAAATGGGAGGATTTGAATATGGATTGCTTGGTGAATGTGTTTGGGAGAGTTGGAATTGAATCACTGCTATTGGATGTTCCCTTCATGTGCAAGTCATGGTACAAAGCCACGCTCAGTCCTCTGTGCTGGCGCCTACTTGATTTTTCTAAAATCTCACTTGATTCATGGTCTTATGATGAATCCAGATCAAGATTGCTTGATAAATATCCATTATATGATAAATTGTCTGTCACTGCATTCATCAAGTTTGTAGTTAAGCGTAGTGCTAGATCTGCCACTTTTCTGTCGCTTCCAGATTGTTGCACAGAGGAAGCATTGCTTTATGTTGCAGATGAGTAAGTTCTACAAACTAACAAGTAACTACATTAAGTTGATTTTATTACATTAAAAAAATAAAAGAGCACAATTTTTGTTCTATGTTTTGATTTACTGACAATCTGCCACTATGGCTCTTTTTGTCTAGATCCCAAACTCGAAAGGTAAAAACTCAGCAAATGAAATTGCATGAATTGTCTGAAGGGACAGCTAAAATGGGAGTAGGATCCTCTGTGGTGGTGGTTTAAGAGCCAAAAATAAGATCATTGAGTGGTTTAAAGGTGGTTTTACCTTGCAATTGTTTTTGGCTCTTAACCCATCATTGCAAGATTATTGCAAAGGTGGATTATCGCAGTGGATCCTAGTCCATTAAATGACTCTGATTTAAAATTACTTTCTAGTTTCATCGGAAGATGAGGGATTACTTTTTATTAGTTTTTTTTTGGTAATCTTTGCTCTGTTTTTTATTCACCAGGTGTTCTGACTTGAGGGCTTTGCTGCTGCCTCAGGATCTACCTGATGATCATATGTTACAGATACCAATATTTATCAGCAAGTGGAAAAATTTGGAGATTTTAAGGCTTGGAAGCACCTTTCAAATGCAAGAAGTCCTTGCCCAAATCAACATTCACTGCAAGAACTTTATTGGATTGGCTATCGCAAGAGCCCACGTTGAGCAAGATGAAGCATCAGCTATTGTCACCCTACTCCCAAACATAAAGCAATTGTTTCTAAGGCATGCTTACATGGAAAAGGAGAACCTAGTGATGATTTTGCAGGGCTGCAAAGAACTTGAGTATTTTGATGTTAGGCACTGCATAGGTTTCGACGAGGGTGATGATGAGATATTAAAGCTTGCTTCTCACATCCGAACATTCAAGGATGAGGGCTCGATGTTGTATGATTATGATGATGACTACTGCCCTACGTATCGTGTAGACGGCTTCCATGATGGAGACTTCTCTGACTAAAGTGTATTGTATAATGTGTTTGCTTGGGATTGTCAACTTAGACTCAGTTTTAGAAACTCTCCGTTGGGTTGTCTGTAATGGATTGTTATGGAATGGATGAAATATCAAGGCACTAGCTTGTGCCGCTCTTGAACTCCTTGATATTACTTTTGGCTTTTGTTTTCTACTGCTTCTTTTAACAGCTAACAAATACTTTGCTGATTTGCTTGTCAAACAACCTGAAATAAATTGGTACTCACTTGTCTAATGCTGCGGCTGGGGTGGTTTGTGCAAAGCTTATATCAATTTTCTTAATGGATTCAAATTGTTTCCCACTTTGAAAGCTCAACGAAAGAAGAATTCATCCATATCTGGTGCACGCCCCTATGCCTTCTTGACTTGAAGGGGCGATGTCAGGCATGACTTTTTTAAGTAGCTGCTAGGGATGATGAAATTGCAATTAATTTGGCTTAGAAATTTTGACAATTGAAATTTGTAGTATATCCCCAAATTTTTTCCACTTATTAGATGAGCATTGTATATCTTTTTCATAGGTTGAGAGATTGTTTTTATTTATTTTTTTGGGGGATATAATTTCCATTATAATGGTTTTTAGTAGCTTTTATCAAAATTAGTTTAATTGGCACCAAATTCAAGCGCATGAATTAAACTCATATTCAAATCTTCTTGAATTCTGGTATTGTTGACGGATAAAGAGGTAAATAATTATTTTTTGGGGACTTACGTGTAGGTCCTAATAAATGGACTTATTGTTGAACAAGTCCTGCGATAATTAATGATATTTTTTATTAAACACTATTAAAAAATGTCACTAATTATTAATTTTCAACGATAGTTTGAAAATTGACACAAAAAATGTCACTAATTATAAGTTTTAGTGATAGTTTAAAAAAATCGTCACAAAAAAATCACTAATTTTTAATTTTCAATGACATTTTCAAAATTTCGTCACAGAAAAATGTCATTAATTGTAAGTTTTAATGACATTTTATAAAAATCATAACAAAAAAAGTTACTAATTATCAATTTTTAACGACATATGCAAAAAATGTCACAAAAAATTATTTTTAACGATGATTTTACTATGACTTATTTTCAATTGGACTTGATGAAAATTAAATCTAACTATTAGGATTTATTAGGGATGGCAATGGGGGTTAATGGGGTGGATATTAATACCCCATCTCCATTCCCCTATAACAAATTCAAAAATGCTAGAGGCTCCAAAAATTCTACCAAAAGTTTTACCAAATGTCTCACATGGGTGTGGGACCCACATGGGACCCACATTGTGTGGGTCCCACACACATCTCGGAAATATTCCGCCATAGTTAGGGCAGTCAAACCAACTCTCATACGAGCTCCCGGCGGTTCATTCATCTGACCGTAAACTAGAGCCACTTTTGATTCTGCAATATTTTGTTCATTACTCACCCCAGATTCTTTCATTTCCATGTAAAGATCGTTGTGCTAACTTGATCGTCGGAGGGTTTTTCCGGCCACACACCGCCGGGTAGCTCACCGTTACTTGCTCGCAGGTGATCGGACATCGACGGAGCTCGGAAGAAAGGAGTACGGGCTTGCCGGAATATTTGCTCCCCGTACAATAAATTTTTCCCATTCCCCATTCCCCATTTCCCATGGGTACCACCCTCCCCATTTCTTAATGGGTTTGGATTTTCCCCAACCCACTTTAATCCCCATTTTTATTTTATTTTAACAGCCACTTTTTTTTTTTTTTTTTTTCTTTTTTTAAGATTCACAACAAAAGCTAATTATACCTTCAATCTTTTTTTTTAATATATTTAATTTTAACAAATTTTCTTTTTTCTTTTTATTTTTTTTATCAAGGTTTTAGCTAAATATACCTTCAATCTTTTTTTTTCTTTTTTAATATATTTAATGTTAACAACTTATTATTTTTATTTTTATTTTTAGGGTTCACAACAAAAGCTAAATATACATTCAATCTTATTTTATTTTATTTGGTTCAACAACAAAATCAAATACACATTAATTAATTAACTAAAAAGTTTGTTTTATAATAATCAAATATATAATTTTGAGACAATCAAATAGGTTTTAGTAATAGAAAAAAACAAATGTGGAAGAACGTGGAAGATTAAAAAAAAAATTACAACCATTTCTCTCTATCTCACTCTCACTCTCACTCTCACTCTCACTCTCACTCTCTCCCCTACATGTTATAAGAACCTGTTTCCAATGTTATAAGAGTCTGTTTGAAGAAATAAAATGTGAACAAACCTGTCTGAAAAAAGTGTTATAAGACCCATATTAAATTGCATCAGGGCATAAACTAGGAATTGTTTGTTGATCTCTTAGCCACAGACATTTTAGACATTAAACCATCTTTCTCTTAGCAAATTTGAACCATTTATTTTAATTTATCCAAAATCTAATTATACCTTTTAACAAATCTAAACCACTCATTTTAAGATATCTATGCCTTACCACACCCAATCCATCCTCCATCTTCTTCCTTTAGTCCCCCACGAATTTTATTGTTTGTTACTTTTAAAAAATAAAAAATATTTTTTCAATTAAATTTTTACTAATTTCACAACACTATCACCACTATTCTCACCTTCGCTATCACACTACCATCACCATAGCCACTATCATCATCACTGCCGCCTTCACCCCACCACTATGTCACAATCTCTACTTTCACTTTCGTTCCACCACCACCACCACCACCAAATATAAAAAAATATATTTTTAATTTTTTTTATGAAAAATATTTTTCATTAAAAAATATTTTCTATCTAAATAAATGAAGCATAACATTGGGAAACAAGTTGATTTCAGTTAAATCTGTTCATAACTAAGAAAAATTCTTTTATTTTTAAAAAAATTATTTAGTAAAACTTTGTATTCCCTTTTTGTTTTTCCAGCAAATAAATCTTTGTACCCATGCTTTCTAACCAATCACGACTCATGCTTGTTTCGATTCTCTACAATTTTCTTATTTTCAAATACATTCATATATATATATATATATATGTTGTATAAATTGTGTGATAACATAAAACAAATAGATTCATACTCATTAATTGAAATTTCAGAACAAGCAAACCATTCTGAAAATTACAAAACAAAATAAAATAACATAGAAAAGCAAATCGAAACCTGCACTAGATAGTGTCCTTAATTTTTTTAAATAAATTTAAAAAATTCTAGATATGTCTAAAATTTGACAAGAATAATGTGACAATGTTAAATAATCTGTATTTGATTTTATTGTTGAGCCAAATAAAATAAAATAAGATTGAATGTATATTTAGGTTTGGTTGTGAATCCCTAAAAAAAAAAAAAAAAACATATGGGGAAATTAGTGGGTACCCATCCCCAACCCGTCCCCTGTGGATATTTAAAGAATATCACTTACCCTACCCAATGGATAAGAAAAAAAGGAAAAAAATCTATGTATTTGGGTTGGGTCTCCATGGATACCCACATGATAGGTTATCCATTGCCATCCCTAAGATTTATTGTTAGTTTATCCTTATTTTCTAGACTTTTCAACTTTCAAATAATACTCTTCATTTTCCATTTCCATTTCCACCTTCTATAGACGTGTATCTTGTATGTATATATATATGTACATACATTTGTTTCAGTAGAGTGATCAAAATCAGAGAGAAGAAGGCTCTGTCTCTCCTTTTGGAATTAATGCTGTAACAAGCTTTGTCTTTCCATTCTACATCAATTGCATGATTTCAGAGTTTACAAAAACTTGCTTCAAATGTTGCGTTGCTTTTTTTTACTCAATAAATGAATGTATCTATATCTGTTCATGTGATTCTTGGTATAATCTCAATATATGAATCTTTATCTTCTGCATGAATGCATGATTTCAGAGTTTAAACAAACTTTTATTTTCTCAACTCTTTGCTGCTTTTTTTTTTTTTTTTGAATACCTAGCATTTTCTAGTAACATGAGACAAATTTTCAGTTGAAACCTTCACTGGCTACATGGAATCTTTAAAAAAAAAATTCTTAAAAAAAAAAGTGTACTTAAATAAGAACAACATAATTATAACTTTCATAGAGTTGCAAGAAGTTGTGTTCGGTGCAAGTGAAAGTTTTGGCATGGGAAACAACTTTCACTTGTTTTGATTTGTACATCCATAATAATACAACTGTTTTGAGTTATTTTCACTAAGTGCAATTTTCTCTTCTTTTTATTTATCATTTATGCTTACCCTTCATCTTCAATTTGTGCAGATGGAAGGAGAAAAATGGAAGGAATTGAATATGGATTGCTTGGTGAATGTGTTAGGTAGAGTGGGAATAGAATCACTGCTAATTGATGTTCCGTTTGTGTGCAAGTCATGGTACAAAGCCACAAAGAGTCCTCTTTGCTGGAGACAACTTGATTTTCTTGAAATCTCACTTGATGATTGCACTTCTTTATTTTTCTTGGCAAGATTAATCGATGACTATCAAGTAAAGGGAAAATTCTCTTTCACAGCAATCGTCAAGACTTTAGTTAAGCGTAGCGCTACATCTGCTGTGTATGTATCGCTTCCCGACTCTGGCCTCTGTGATGAAGAAGTACTGTTTTACATTGCAAATCAGTGAGTTCTTCATGCCCAATGTTGAAGAAAAAGTTCAAAGAAAAAATGTCACATTTTTTTCCAAACACAAAACACATTTTATGGATTTCACAACCTCTTTTTTTTTTTTTTTTTTTTCAATTTGAAAAAATAATTATTATTTTTAATGTACTTTTTACCCAATTCCAAAACAAACAAATATACCAGGCACTAGTTAGCATTTGACAAAAAAATGCATATTTTTATTTCCTACTTTACAAATTGGCTTTAGGTTGCTGAGTTTTGTGAAAATAGAAGTGATGGAGAGTGCAAGTAAGGAAAAAAAAATGTTACTGCATTTTTTTAGCATGAAAGTAGGGGAAAATACAAGAAGATTAATTTTTTTGTACAATCCACTTTAGCAAGTAACTTACTTTCAATTTCTTGTAATTTTTTTTTATTTTTTTATTTTTATTTTTTTTACAAATATATATTTTGGTAAAAGTAGTCGACTACTAAAAATTTCACATAAATTTCATCTTAAAAAAAATTGTATTAAAAAATAAATTTTCTTTCCTTTTCTTTTTTTTTATAAATATTTTTAACTTCACATCATATTTTTCACTGTAATCAAACCAACCCTTTTGGTTTAATTTTCTCTGTTGTTTTATATTAAGGTGTTTGATTACTTTGTATTAGTGGTTGGTAACCCTTGCTATCTTTTTTGACTCACCAGGTGTCCTAACTTAATAGTATTAGAGCTACCAGCTGATATAGATCATGATGTTGTGTCCAAGGTCCCAAAACTCATGAGCAATTGGAAATGTTTGGAGTTTTTAAGGTGTGGAACCGCCTTTAAAATGGAAGAAATTCTTGCCCAAATTAGCATTCACTGCAAAAACTTTGCTGGTTTCTCTGCTTTTCATGCTGATATTAAGAAAGATGAAGCCACATCTATTGTCACCTCAGTTCCAAACATAAAGTATTTGGGGTTAAGGTATTCAAACATTGATCGAGAGAGTCTATTGATGATTTTGAAGGGCTGCAAAAAACTTGTGTATTTTGATGTAAGGAACTGCAAAGGTTTCGACCTTGGAGATGATGAGATTTTGAAGCTTGCTTCTCATATCAAAACATTCAAGGATGAGGGGTTGCATTTGTCAACATAACATCATCAATGCTATCGTGGCATTATTTTGAATGTGATTTCTATATATAATTTGTGTTTTTTTTTCCCTTTCTATATACATTGATGACAGTCATGCAACTCCTGGACTGAGGGTGTGTTTGTTTGATGGACTAATGTGGCTTTAATTTTACCACAATTAGTTGTTCCCAGTTTTCTTTTTAAGGATTTTGTTAACAAGTGTCTTAACGGCACTAGTTAACAGACCCCATGAACAATAGCAAGGTAGCCATGACGGTAACCAAATCAGTGCCAATGCACACCCGCATGATCTGATAAAATTGGGCATGGTTGTTAGTAGTACAGTTTAGAGGGAGAGTGCAGAATTAAAACAAAAAAAATTAAAGGGAGAGAAACTGTTATATTTATAGAAAATACTATTCATACCAAAAATTCATACAAAAAGTGATTTGGCATTAACATGTGTGAGTAGAGTTGGCACAAGTATCACTATACTGAAGTGTAATATTGTCAAAATACATATAACTTGCATGCCAGCATAAAGTTGCTGCATGGCATTAGCGGTAGCCTACTGAGAAAATGAAAAATAGAAGTAGAAATTTTGAACTTTTGGTAATTAATTTTAAAAAAAGAAAAAAAGAAATTGGGATGTCATTTGAAGAACAGAATGTAAAGACTAAAACAGCTAATAAAGGATTCGGATAAAAAAAAATTCTTAAAAGCTATTATGCAAAGATTTGCATTAACCAACAAAAGTTCAAATAAATATTAACATAAAGTAGTAATAATGAGACACAATAAACCAATGTATAACACATGACATTACAAAAAAAAAAAAATAGTCATTATGAAAAACCTTTAGACATTACTTTGAAACTAAGAGCTAACAGGCGGATCTGGTCCCTGATTTTGATAAGTCTGTAAAAGTAAATGTGTATATATATAATATGAATTGGGCTCTTCTTCCAGTTGAAAAGTCAAAGATATTTCGTTGGTTGAATGTTTTTTCTCGCTAGAAACAAAAACTCAGGGACTTGGGCATCTCTATTAGAAAATGTTTCAAATTCTGAGAATCAATTTAACTCATGAGCTTGAATTTTGTGCATATAATAAAGTTCTCAACCCATTTTAGAGTTATTTTCGTGGAACGAAAGGGGTGTTAATCTTTGGAATTCAAAAAAAAAAAAGAAAAAAAAAGAAAAAAAAAGAAAGAAAAGAAACCAAAGAATCCACCATTTTGGAGTTAGTTTATCTCTGTCTTTCTCTCTCATACACAGACCCATCAACCAATCAACGATATATCTTCCGGACTTTTCAACTGGCAAAAGATATATATAGTTTCACACACACGCGCGCGCACACACACACACATATATATAATACATACACATTTGATTCGATAGAGTGAGTAACCCAAAATCAGATGCCAGAAGAGTCGGTGTATCTTTCCTTTTACAAGTAATACTTTTGAAAGGTTCTCTCTTTACTTGCATTTTGCATTCTACATGATTTCCAAGTGTTCAAACTTTATTCTATTGCTTCTAATTGTGTTGATTAATTTAATGCTCTGGCAGTGAGCCTTTACAATCTGTTCTTAAAACATTTGTATCTGTTTATTTATTTATTTTTCTTTTTTCCTTCCTTTTTTCTCTTTATTTATTGGGAATGTATAACATATAGTATTTTTTTTTTGGGTTTGTGGGTGTAGATGGGACGAAGAAAATGGGAGGAATTAAATATGGATTGCTTGGTGAATGTGCTTGGGAGAGTTGGAATTGAATCACTACTTTTAGACATTCCTTTGTGTCAAGTCATGGTTCAAAGCCACACTCAGTTCTCTTTGCTGGCGACGACTTAATTTTTCTCAAGTCTCAACTACACGATTAATGTATAAATATGAAGTATAGTTTTGCGCCATCTCTATGATGAAGTTCGTCGTCGATCATAGTGATAGATGTGCCACATATCTTTCACTTCCCAACCGTATTAATCTTTGGAATTCAAAAAAAAAAAAGAAAAAAAAAGAAAAAAAAAGAAAGAAAAGAAACCAAAGAACCCACCATTTTAGAGTTAGTTTATCTCTGTCTTTCTCTCTCATACACAGACCCATCAACCAATCAACGATATATCTTCCAGACTTTTCAACTGGCAGAAGATATATATAGTTTCACACACATGCGCGCACACACACACACACATATATAACACATACACATTTGATTCAATAGAGTGAGTAACCCAAAATCAGATGCCAGAAGAGTCGGTGTATCTTTCCTTTTACAAGTAATACTTTTGAAAGGTTCTCTCTTTACTTGCATTTTGCATTCTACATAATTTCCAAGTGTTCAAACTTTATTCTATTGCTTCTAATTGTGTTGATTAATTTAATACTCTGCCAGTGAGCCTTTACAATCTGTTCTTAAAACATTTGTATCTGTTTATTTTTTTTTTTCTTTTTTCCTTCATTTTTTCTCTTTATTTATTGGGAATGTATAACATATAGCATTTTTTTTTTTGGGTTTGTGGGTGTAGATGGGACGAAGAAAATGGGAGGAATTAAATATGAATTGCTTGGTGAATGTGCTTGGGAGAGTTGGAATTGAATCACTACTTTTAGACATTCCTTTGTGTCAAGTCATGGTTCAAAGCCACACTTAGTTCTCTTTGCTGGCGACGACTTAATTTTTCTCAAGTCTCAACTACACGATTAATGTATAAATATGAAGTATAGTTTTGCGCCATCTCTATGATGAAGTTCGTCGTCGATCATAGTGATAGATGTGCCACATATCTTTCACTTCCCAACCGTAGTCTTACAGATGAAGCACTAATTTATGTTGCAGATAGGTAAGTTTTGTGAATTACATTAATGGTGATGATAAAATCTTAAGCAATCTTGTTTTATCATAAGGTGAAGGAATTAATTAATTTATAACTTTTTGTTAGGTGTCCTAATTTGAGGACTTTTGTGCTGTCTACCTTGTTACAATAATGTATAGAGAAAGAGGGAGAGAATAAAATGTGTATATGAATGTTATATTGATATATTCGGTATATTGATGTTGTATTGAATGTTCAGTTGAGCTCACTCCTTTATAGAGGAGAGGGAGAACAAAAGGAACCTTACAAACCGAAAGAACTGAAAGCAGAAGCACAAACCAAACAACATTATTAAAGGTACATTATTAAAGGTTTGACAGCTAATATATATACTTACTAACAGCCCCCTTCAAACTCAAGGAGGATAGGCACAAACCAACTTGAGTTTGGAAAGAGTAACAAAACAGGAAAATAAACTAATACATAAAATAAAATAGGATAAGAGACACTGTATGGTTGTGTCAGACCATTGGTGAAGACACTGTATGGTCGTGTCAAACCGTTGTAGCAGCTAACTGGAATCAATGTCGGGACAATTTATGAGGTCATGCCGGACCAATGTAGAAGCTAACCGAAATCAATGTCGGGACAGTTTACGGGGTCATGTCGGACCGTTGTAGAGGATATTGTGTGGTCGTATCAGACCGTGGTAGAAACTTTGGTGGTGCACCAAGGGGGCGACTTAGGGAGTGCGCCATGGGGTGGCTTGGGTGGTTCGCATGGTGGCTTGGGTGGTTCGCATGGTGTGTAACCATGCTCACCATGATATATGTAGAATGCCCCCCTCAAACTCAAATAGGTTTGAAGATAGAAACCTATTGGAGGTTGAAACAAAAGGATTGATAAAGTGGAGCGGAACGGCTCAACACAGAGTGGAGATGTTATAAAAAAAATAAAAATGGTAGAAAGATTTTTGGAGATGTTTAAAAAAAAAAAAAAAGGGAGAAAGGTTTTTTTTTTTTTTTTGGTGCGTTTTTTTTTTTTTTTTTTGTGGTGGAAAAATAATAATAATAAGAAAATAATGGAAAAAGGGATGATGCTCACTAACGAAGATGGATAATAATGAAATATTGATGAAAAAAGAAAGATAGAAAAAAAATAAAATAAAATAAAAAGAAGGTAGTGGGAACAGGAATCTGGAAAAGCTCACCAACGGAGCGTTAAAATAAGGAAATCTTGAGAGAGAAAAGGAATTTTTTTTTTTTTTTAATGAAAAAAGAAAGATAAAATAAAATAAATAAAGTTGGAGGTAGTGGGATCAGACTGCGGGTTCCTGAAGCTGTGGGTTGAAAATAATAATGATGTGGGGGTGAAAAAGGTTGATAAATGGGGTCAAAGAGCACATGGATTATGGATTCTGAGTTTGTGCATGACAATAATAATAATAAAATGAATGAGTGGAGAGAGAGTTTTATGTTTAAATAAAAGAAGAGTGGGTGGATAATATTAAAATAAAAAGAAACGAAAAGAGGGGGACAAAAGTTGGTGTCTGGGTGTGATTTGCGAGAAGATGCTGCCTGTTGCCTTTGAGAGAGAGAGCTTCATTGATATTACCGTAGACCAGAGATGAGAGACATGTTCAGAATGTGAATAAGGTTGAAACTGCTGTCCGAATTACCCATATCCCCACTGGCGTTACTCTTCGCTGCACAGAAGAGAGATCCCAACTAGCGAACAAGATCAAGGCTCTAAGCCGGTTGAAAGCAAAACTGTTGGTGATAGCAGAGAGAGGTCTGGGTTTGGACGGCCAAGGTGAGTATCTGAGTAATACGTCCCCTCAGATCTGGACGGAATGCTCCATTATGATGTTCTTTGATAATGTTCAGAGTGCTCACACCTCACAATGGCCGAAGAGAAGCACCACCACCAACTATGGTGTGGCGTTGAAGAAGTGACCACATATGGTGAGACCACCAACACCTATGGAAGCGGTGGTGGAGAGAGTAAGTGTAGTGAGAGTACTGGTGTTTATGGAACTACAACACCTCGTTTTTTTGAGGAAACCCTTGATTATGAGAAAAAGGTTAAGCAACACAAGCACCGTGAGCAGCATGGTGAGCTTGGTGCTGTTGTTGCTGGCACATTTGCCTTGTATAAGAAGCTTCAGTCAAAGAAAGACCCAGAGCATGCCCACAAGCATAA